ATAAATTGAATATGAGGAATCTACTTGTTAATTGTTAAAATTGACTAACTACCTATAATATGTTCATCCTTACATAAATTTAGCATAAAGGTAAGTTATAATAACATCCTAATTTATTATTTGATTTTTTATTATTTAAAAAAAATATGTCATACATATAAGTTTTATTAATAACACTTCATAGGACTTAACACTAGATAATGCACTTCATTTAAACTAGAATTCTAATTTTCAATAACTTAAAGTGTTGATTTAAACAATATTTTTAACATAATAGTACAACATATACACAGGGATTATGTACTACTATAAAAAAAAAATTTGATTAGACAACACAATACACTTGGCATTGCACCTTTCCAATCTACTTTTATTGTTTTATTTTTTTGTGTAAAAACATTCATACTTGTAAGTAGTACGCTTAAAAGTGGTACACTAGGAGTCTAAGATTGCAAGAACAAAAGACTTTAGACTATCAACTTCTAAAAATAAAAAAGGTCTATACATTTTAAATTGTACTTCTCAATTTAAAAATCTCTGATGTAAACTAGAATTCCAATTCTCAACAAAAATAAAAAATAGGACTTTAGAGTAGAAATTGTTCATCTCAATTAAAAAGTTTTGATTAGAATTACAAATCTCAATAACTTAATGTGTTGATTTGACAACACAATGCAAACAACATTTTGATTAAAATGCGAGCTCGAATTAATAAAATAAAGTGAATGACACTTGTCTTGGTAACTTGCAATCAACTTTTTACGTAATTTATTTTTATTTTTTTTTTAAATTTAATAATTTTATAAAACTTAAGTATTAAAAAAAATTATACTTAAACATAGTAGAATATGATTGATTATCTATTAGATTACAAGGAAAGGCTTTAGACTAGATATTGTACTTGTCTGTGATAAAAGTTGTGATTTAAAAATAAGAAAAGTGTCGATTTGACAATACAATGTAACCTTTTGCTAAAACCAACACAACTTCAACAAATAAATCAATTATTGAAAAAAAATTAAATAAAAGAATAAAAAACAATAAAAATCATAATCATCACACCCCATTGGCACATACATTAATAAATTAATTTACGAGACATAATCTATTTCACAATATCTTTTTATAACAACAAAATTTGTTTTATAAAACCGAAAAGTGTTTTTTAAAAACAAATTAATTTTCTATTTCATGTAACAATTTTTATTAAAAAAAAAATTGTACCTAGAATATACTACTATTTTATTACAAATATAATAAAAATATTTAAAATGTGATATTTTTTAATTTAAAAAAAAAGGTTTTGGAAAAATTGGAAAAAGTTGAATGATATGGTGTTAGGTGTTGATGGCATTTGGTCTGAACTTGTTTTAGACTACATGACCTGGTTGTAGACTACAAAACCTAGGTGTAGACTAGAATTAGCAAGGATTGTAAGGGAAAGTACTGATAGGACAACTCACACTCTTACAAGGTGTACACTTGAGTTGTAAAGATGATAGCTATGATTAGACAACTCAGAATTCTTACATTGATTGAACAATGCAACTCTTACAAAGTTATAATGCATAAAGAGCAAAATATAACAATAATTAAAATTAAATTTATTAACAAAACATTAAGAAGTTCAAGTACAATGGCTTTTAACAATGTCCAACAACAAATAGTTCAATTGAAGTAGCATGGCTTTTACAATTTTTAACAAAAGACACGGTTGAGACTAGTTTCTGAATTTAATCCTAATGGCTTTTAAAATTCTACAACAAATTATTGCTTAGCCCGGATATTTTTTTGTTGAATCAGATCCGTAATCCCCTTGTTAATGAAACAAGTAATGACTTTATTCCAACCATCACGTTCTATTTGCAAACTTGCATCCCACTCGTTATCTCCAAATCGTAATAAAGCTGCGGTGTCCTCAGGAAAATCAACGAAGTGCTCCCGAGCGAATTCAATTGGAACACTCTTCACAATAATGTAAAAAACAAAAACAAGTTAGACACATTTAAAATTATATGAGTCGCTTTAAGACAAATACATTAAAGTTAGAATTAGCCTTTAACCATTACGCCTAGATGCATGTAAGACCTCGTAAAAGTTGACAAAAACCACGGTCTTTCTTCTTCTACAACATTTGGGATATCATTTGGGGCTATGTCAATAGGATCCACAACCTCTAGACAAGCTCTAAAAACCCTGACACGAACACATGTGCTATGAAATAAATAAATTTTTAAGATATCACCAAGTCTTATGTCATATTCGGTCACAAAATTTTCTCAACCGTCCTCCACAAAATACTTTCACTTGGATACTAAATCCAAGATCCGAAGGGGTACGTTCCACGATGCGTTACTATATCCCCTAAATACTTCAAGATTTACATTCACTCCTTGAACTCCTTCAATTAATGTACCCGGAATACGCTACAATTTGGTGTCCAAAAAACCATGATTGAAAAAAAAAACAAATTTTAATTAAGATATTAAAAAAACTTACCACACCAACAAGCCTTCTTTCATTCACCTCCATTTCAAAATACGGGTAATTCCATTTCGCCTGCAAAATTTTTTTAATGAGTTTTTTAAATTTTTTGGATTTAAACCTAACAAATCATACGGACAAAATTGACACGAGATTACGCATTGAAAAAAATACCATATCAAAATTATTGCTAGCACTGTTATAAAATTTTATAGATTTTTAGCCTTTGGTAATTTGTTGCTAATACCCTTATGCTTGAGTTATGAAATTTGTCCATCTTCCTCTTATAGGATAGAAAAGTAAGTCACGACGAGTCTCGTTGTAGACACCCAAATGTGTCTCCCCAAAACCAAACCCATTGATGAATGTCTTTCACGTCGAAACATAATCGAATGAAGTGAAAGTGTGGGAAGTCTAGTGTTGCGGTTACTTTTTATTCCTTTTATCTCTGTTTTGAAAACCTATTTTAAGAAACAGCCAATCTAGTATGGTTTGGTCCATGGCAAGGGTCCAATAATAGTGTAGTTGGGTTGGGTTCGAAAAGAGCTTTCTAACGATATATTATAAGCCCAATTCCGATGAATAATGAGGAAGTTATGGCCAAATTACTAAATTGGGGCCGGTTTGATCTTTATATGCGGCCCAATGATCTAGAGGAGGGCCTATTAATGATTTATCATTCCTAATGTGATTAGTTTTGATTATAGTCTTCTAGAATCTTCTAGAAGGTTCTTTTGAATCCTAATTTGTTAAGCATTGATAAATTGACTATAGTTGACTTTTAAGAGTTTTAATCAGAATAAAAGAAGTGTTTTTAAGGAAAATACGATTTTTCCTTCTCGTACGTTTAAATTTTATCAAAATAAGAAAACGCGTAAAAAAGCTGATTGCAGTGTCTGGCGACGGGACCAGCGTCTGGCGTCTGGCGACAGCTCTGTCGTTTGGCGACAGTCGCGTGCTTAGCACTGCGGTCTTGTTTTATTCTTTTCGAAACTCTGATTCGTTTTTTATCATATATGGCTGATTTTCTTTATAAATAGCCTCCTTAAATTCTATTTTGAATCATAAATTTTCATCAACAACTATCAATTCTTAGGAGTTCTCTCTAGTTCTCTCTTTTCTGAACCAATCCTTTTTACAAACAAAATTCTGCATTCACAAGATCTAGAAACACCTAGCCAAGTTCGAAGTTGCCTTCTCCCAAGACGTGAAAGGTTTTATTTTCTAAGGGTTTGGTCCCAAATCTTATTTTCAGTTATTTAATTTAATTATTTATTTTATTATTTTTCTTGAAGTTACTAATGCGTGTATTTTGTTATTAGAAAGAGGTACGAGCAGGGGCGAAGGGACGGGGGGGGGGGGGGGGGCTGGTGGAGGCCCGGCCTCCCTGGCCCAGATTTGCGACCCTTTATTATCAACTCTTGGCCCCCCTTAAAATATTATATATAGCGTTGAAGACACATAAATTACAACAAATAAGGTTTGACACATTGGTTAGGTAATGATGTTTTCCACCAAGGAGCCTGGGTTTGAATCCCATTACTCTCTTTTTTAAAGATAAACCTTCTTATTCAATTTGGGCTTGATTTGATAATAAAGCCCAAAGACTAAAGCTACATAAAAAGTTAATGACGGGAACCTGCATCATATTTTTAAGAATTGAGATTCTATATTCCTACTCTTGTTTTTATCAACTGTTCAGACTTCATAAGCAAATCAAATAAAACAGGTATTTTTAAAAATTCTTCTTTATTAATTTTTTAAAGTTATGTAATTTCATTTAATTAATAAATTTCTTATTGTTATTTACATGATTGTGATTAGTTGTTTACTTGGTTAATATGTTTAATTATTTAATATTTTTGGCTAATTTTTAATTTATTTAATGGACCATTAGATCAAATTTTAGGGTTATTTGCTAATTAATTTGATAATTGTTGTTTTATTTTGATATAGGTTAAATCATGAAATCAAAAACACTAGATTTTTTTTACAAAAAAGTTAATAATCAACAAGAAGAGGGTTCCACTTCAAAGGCAAATTTGAATCCCGAAAGTAATTTGTGTGATGATGATGAGCAAAACACAAATTTTGAGGGGCAAAAAAGATCTGGAACTTCAATTCCCGAAATTGGTAACCCTCGAAAAGTTCAAAGATTTGAAACTAATGATATAAATACCTCATGTACTCTTGAGCGTGATCCCGGGCTACGCAAACAAATTAGAGACTATCATCCCAATGAGCGTGAGCAAATAAGGAGGGAGTATCTAAGACTAAAAGCGTTTCAACCCATTCAAGATGATTATCCCTATTCTGGGTCAGAAAAACATCGTCGTTCATTTTAATCATCGTGGTTTAAACAATTTCCTTGGTTAGAACATTCTCCATCAAGAGATGCTGCATTCTGTTTTCTATGCTTTCTTTTTACAAATAAAGCAACCGGATGTTTTACCCATGATGGGTTTACTAATTGGAAAAAAGTGAATAGTGGAAAGAGTTGTTCCTTTCTGAATCATATGGGCAAAGGTCCGAATTCCCAACACAATAAGAATCAAAAGGCATGTGATGACTTGTTGAATACAAATCAACATATTGAACCACCACTTTTAGGGAAGACAGAAGAAGAGATTAAGAATAACAAGTTGCGGTTAAAAACTTCAATTGATGCAGTTCGTTGGCTAGCATTTCAAAATTTTCCATTTAGAGGCCATGATGAGAGTGAAAACTCTAAGAATCAAGGAAACTTTCTTAAGCTAATAAAGTTTATAGCCTCATACAACAAAGATGTGAACAAAGTCGTTTTGCAAAATACTCCAGGTACTAATAATAAATTTTTTTAGAGGATTTGTATTTTAATTCAATGCTCCCAAACATCATTTAACTAACACTAATATTTTTAGGGAATGCTTCATATACATCATCCACAATTCAAAAGGAGATTTTGCAAATTTTAGCGAAAAAAGTGCAAGATAAAATAAGAAAGGAAATTGGAGAATCAAAATTTTGTGTCATCCTTGATGAATCTCAAGATAGGGCATTAAGAGAACAAATGGCAATTGTTTTAAGGTTTGTTGATCATGATGGAATTTTAAAAGAACGATTTTTTGATCTTGTTCATGTGAAAAACACTTCATCATTAACTTTGCAACAAAAATTATTTAAAGTTTTGTCTTATCATAACTTGAACCCAAAAAATATTCGTGGTCATGGATATTATGGAGCTTCTAATATGAGAGGGGAATTTAATGGTTTGAAAGCTTTAATATTAAAAGATTCACCCTATGCATACTATGTTCATTGTTTTTCTCATCGGCTTCAATTAGCTTTGGTTGGAGCTACAAAAGAAGTGATTCCCATACAACAATTTTTCACTAAATTGGCAATTATAGTCAATATAGTTGATGCATCTTCGAAAAGACATGATGAGTTACAAGCTACACAAAAAGTTGATTTAGCAAACAAGATTGCTAATGACGAGGTTCAAACTGGGAGAGGATTGAATCAAATCGGGAACTTACAGCGTGCTGCTGATACTCGATGGACATCTCATTTGAATTCAATCAACAATTTAGTAAGGACATTTTCTTCTATAGGTAAGGTTCTTCTATCCATTGTTAAAGAAGGAAATTCTGAACAACGTGCCAATGCTGATAATGCTTATGATACATTAATGTCCTTTGAGTTCATTTTTATTTTACACTTGATGAGGAACTTTTAGGGGTGACCCCTAATTTATGCCAAGCTCTACAACGGTGTAGTCAAGATATAGCTAATGCTATGAGTCTTGTTTCTACAACAAAAGACTTGATACAAAATTTTAGATTGACTGGTTGGGATGATTTGTTTCAAAAGGTTAAGTCTTTTTGTGAGAAGAATAATGTTCAAATTCAAGATATGACTACTCTTTACACAGCCGGTAAAGGTCGTTCTCGTCAAGGTGGAAAAATAACAATGGAGCATCATTATCGAGTTGATTTATTTATTGCAGCTTCAGATTCACAACTACAAGATATTAATAATAGGTTTGATGAACAAATGATTGATCTTCTTATATTGAGTGCAACATTGGATCCTAAAGACTCTTTTAAGTCTTTTGATGTTGATAAAATATGCTACTTGGTGCAAAAGCATTACCCTGAAGACTTCTCTGAACAAGAAAAATATCAACTTGAATGTGATTTGCAACACTTTTACTTGGATATTTGTGTACATATGCAATTTGATAAGTTATCTACCTTACCACATCTTTGCCAAGAGTTAACTACAACAGGGAAATTGTCTACATATCCTCTTGTTGATTGATTGATTCGTCTTTTGCTAACTCTTCCTGTCTCTACAGCAACTTGTGAGCGTGCCTTTTCTGCAATGAATATCGTCAAAACTCAACTAAGGAGTAAAATGGAGGATGATTTTCTTAGAGATGTTTTGGTTGTATACATAGAAAAAGAGATTGCTGTAGAGTTTAGTGTTGAATCTTTGATTGATGATTTTGCTACTATGAAAAATCGTAGAGTACGATTTAACTAATTTTTTTTTGTAACAATAAAATACTAGTTTATTTTAAATTTTTTTATCAATCTATTGTTTAACAAGTCCGGCCCCCAGGACTTGAAAATCTTGGTTTCTCCCCAGGGTACGAGGCATCCAAGTAAGTGCTTTAATTGATTTATTGATATTATGATATAGAAATCATGTTTAGATTGTTATTTTGATTCGTAGTGTCATGTTATAGTATTTTGATCTTCCTAGTATCATGTTTAGGGTAACAACTATAATTTCTAATATCAAATATGACAATTTTGATTCCTGCGATGCTTTCTATTCTCTTCCTAATATGCATGTTAGTATCATATTAGGGATGAATATTTGATCTTTGATGCTCAGTGACATGCTAGGATTTGTTATTAATCTTGGTAGTATCATGCCTAGGATCTTGATATTATTATGCTTTAGCGTTGATATGATTATTTTAATTATGATTATAATTGTTATGATTATTGTTATGATTATTTTAAGGATGATTATTATTGTTATAATTATTATGATAATGATTATTGTTGTTTGATATTTATTTATTGTTATTGCTTGATCACACCTTTTATGCATGTTTAAAGGTAATTTGTACTTTTAATCACGCCTAATAAGATAATAAAAAATCTTGTTTAGGGTTAATAAGATTATAATCCAAGTAATCGCCAATAAAAGATTTATTTGTGCATTAATATTCAACCAACATAGATTAAACAAGTTTAGGGTAAACCTATTAATTACATGTTAGTCTGAAAGCGCACATGAATACGAGAAGAATAAAATATAGGCCTATTATTAGGGCAGGTTCAATCTCTTTTAGGTTGGATTTGTACCTTCATCCCCAAACTTCCAGTCTCGGTTCCAGACCTATTGGAGTTAACGATCTCCTAGATCGTAAGGGTTGTAACCTTCACCCTGTGAACGGTTTACAAGTTCCTAAAACTTGTTGGCGACTCTTTTGCTCTATTTTCTTTCCCCTTTGACGCCACCATACTTAAGTGTATGATCACAGTGGGGTTCAAGTTTGGGGTAATGCTTGAAATATTCCCTACACCCGTCAATAAAATAATCTTGCGTACAATTATTGTGTTTTGTTGATTGAAATTAAAATTATAGGCACCCAATATGCATCCAATAGGCATCTAATAAAACAATTCTACTCTAAACTAATAAAACAATTCTAGTCTAAACTATGTTGTAATTTAAGTCTAATGCTCAACCTTTGTAAATTGTAACTGCATCTCAACTACATAGTTAGCTTTTGGGAAAATTGTTTTATACAAAAAGTGGACGTATTTTATTTACCTTGTTCTTGGTCAATCTAGTCGATATAGTCTTACTAATTTAACTAACTAAATATTTAATTAAACTTGGAATTTTAAAATCATACAGATTATAGTTATTTAAACTAATATTTAATTAATCATCTACTATATTAGCTAATTATTTTAATATTTAGCAAATTATTTTAATGACTTAACTACTTCAACTATTAATTTATGTATGTCTAATTTCGGCCCTTACGAATAATAATTGATAATTACCTACTTTAATTAGAATTAACCACAAGTACAGTTAACTACTAACTAATAATTAATGTTAAACATACAAAATTACACAAAAGCATTGTTAATTAATAAATGGGGCAAAATAGTATGATAGCAATACAAAATAGGCCCCTAAATTACAAAATAGGACTAGGAGTTCTTGATACCAAGTTCTAATTAATTATTTACTTAAAACAACACCTAAACAAAGTTCTTAAAACAGGATAACATAGATCCGAGCTTAGCTTAATACAACCACCAATGGCTTCTTCAAAATACAACCAAAAACAACAAAATCAACCAAAAGTACTCTAGCTCATTCCATGCCATTTGCAACCATTCTTGCTCATTCACCTCGCTACAAGGGGATAGCCTGTATAGCCCTGTGAAAAAACAAAGGTTATTTAATAATTAACTAAGTTAACAAAAATTTAAGATAATTAATTCACATAACTAGACGCAACACCTGAACAAAGGCTTCTAAGATGCAAAGCGACCCCGGACCTTGGTAGTTGGTCTGAGTCTGAAGGACTTTAGACCGCTATAGAAGTGCTGCCCCTTCTTCAAAGGAGTTAAGAACAGAGTGTGCGTAGCTGAAATTACCACCAAGCCTTGCAATCGTTTCAACAAGATTACCAACGCTGTTTCTAATTTCTAACAGAATGACAACATCAGGATGATGCATTTGTAACATGAAGTTGAAATGTTGAACAAAGGAAGGTCGACCCACCCCTCGCACATTCCAGCAAACCAGCGTAGTTGCAACAGGCATTGGGAGCATGTGCGCATTGTTTCGAGTGCACCGTATTGGTTGAATGACTGCACAAGTATAAGTTCGCACTTTAAGAGGGAGAGACACAATGACATAAAGATGTAGAAAGCGTGGTGCAGAGGGGAGGTTTTCCACCTGGAAAGCATCACAAAAGGAAGACATCCGGAGGCGCAAATCATCGTCGCACATAATAAATGGGGGGGACGCTTACAGGCTCAGGGTCTATTAAATGCATCAAGAACGACGGCAATAGGGTTTGTGTATCCTTCTCTAGTGCTGTAATGAAGTACCAGTCGAGCAAGATCTTAAACTTCTCATCCATTCCCAGCCAGTCATTGATGGATGGGAGGTGAGCTGGTCGTAGTGGACCACCAGCTCTAGGAGCCATTTTCAAGTTTGAAGGTTCATTGTCGAAACGGATTGAGGGGTCAAACACTGCCTTCTAGAGGTAGGAAATTTCAGTTGGGCTAGTTTTGAGGTTGGTTTGGGTGTAATAAACCATCTCATTCATGTCAAACTCGACTTTCAAACCACCTTGTGGGGCGGTGTAGTACAGTAGAACATGGCTGCCTAAAGGGGTGAAGCTTAATACAAGAGGCATAATGTAGGGAATATTTCAAGCGTTAATCCCTAGCTTGAACCCCACTGTGATCATACACTAAAGTAAGGTGGCGTCCAAAGGGAAAGAAGATAGAGCAAAAGAGTCGCCAACAAGTTTTAGGAACTTGTAAACCGTTCACGAGGTGAAGGTTACACCCCTTAACGATCTAGGAGATCGTCAACTCCAATAGGTCTGGAACCATGACTGGTAGTTCGGGGATGAAAGTACAAATCCCGCCTAAAAAAGAGATTGAACCTGTCCTAATAATAGGCCTCTACTTTATTCTGATCGTATTCATGTGCGCTTTCTGACTAACATGCAATCGATAGGATTAACCCTAAACCTGTTTATCTATGTTAGTTGAATATTAATGCACAAATAAATCTATTATTGGCGATCACTTGTATTATAATCAAATTAACCCTAACAAGATTATTAATTATCTTATTAAGCGTGATTACAAGTACAAATTCCCTTTAACATGCATAAAAGGTGTGATCAAGCAATAAATATAATCAAGCAACATAATAATCATAATATAAAAATTATAATCATAACAATTATAATAATCATAATAACAATAATTAAAAAATAATCATAATCATGTTAAAGCATAATAATAGCAAGATCCTAGGCATGATACTAACAAGATTAATAACAAACCCTAGCATGTCGCTAAACAATAAAAATCAAAGCTTTAACCCAAACATGATACTAACATGCTATTATGAAAGAATATAAAAGGCATCATACTTTTAATCATACTTGATTTTAAAGTTACCCTAGACATGATACTAGGAATCAAAATAACAATCTAAGAATGATTTCTATATCATAATATCAATTAAACCATTAAAGTACTTACTTGGATGCCTCGTACCTCTTTCTAATAACAAAATACACGCGTTAGTAACTCCAAGGAAAATAATAAAACAAACAATTAAATTAAATAATTGAAAGAGAGATTTGGGACCAAACCCTCAGAAATTAAAACCTTTCACGTCTAGGGCGAAGGCAACTTTGAATTTGGCTAGGTGTTTCTAGTGCTAATGTATGAGGAATTTTGTTTGTAAAAAGCTAGGCTTAGAAAGAGAGAGAGAATCAAGAAATTCTTGATGAGAGTTGATGAGAATTGGTGAATGAAAACGGATTTTTAGAAGGCCATTTATAGAGAAAATCAGCCGAAAAGATAAAAAATCGAAACAGAGTTCTGACGCGTAAAACGGAGGTTAGCGCCAGACGCTGACATTAGCGTCAGGCGCTAACGCTAGCGCCAGGCGCCAAGCTTAGCGTCAGGCACTAATGCTGGCGTTTGGCGCTAACTTAATTATTGACGCGTTTTCTAAAATCAGATAGAAATTGTCGTACAGGAGGATAAAATCGTATTTTCCTCAAAAACATTCTTTCGTTCTGATTAAAACTCTAAAAAGTCAACAAAAGTAAATTTATCAATGCTAATTTAATTAGGAATGAAAAGAACCTTCTAGAAGACTAAAACCATTCCTAATTGCATTAGGAATGATAAATCTATATTAGGCCCTCCTCTAGATCATTGGGCCGCATATAAGGCTCAAACCGGGCCCAGTTTAGTAATTTGGCCATCACTTCCTCAATATTCATCGGAATTGGGCTTATAATATATCGTTGGAAAACTCTTTTCAAGCCCTATACAACTACACTATTATTGGACCCATATCATGGACCAACCAAACCGGCTAGCTGTTTTCTTAAAATAGGTTTTCAGAAACAGAGAGAAGAGAAAAGAAATTAAAATTATCCGCAACACTAAACTTTCCACACTTTCACTTCATTCGATTATGATTCGACGCGAAAGGTACTCATCACCGGGTTTGGTTTTGGGGAGACACAAATGGGTGTCTACAGGGCTGCCTAAAGGGGTGAAGCTTAATACAGGAGGCATAATTAGTGAGTGGCTTTGAATTGTGAAAAAAATTTATTAAGGGGAAGATCAACTTTTATAGTTATAAAGCACCTTTAATAATTATAAAGCCCAATGGAAATATAACATGTGGCCACTTTTTTTTTGGGAGGGGGGGAATGAAATTTTATTTTAGAA